GGGGCTGGCAAGGGTGTGCATAATGAACTTGGGGGTCAGGATGCAGTAAGTGGGGAGGAAGCATGGAGTAACTGGCACCTGCCTTTGTACTAAGGTTTGGGCCCATAAGCCAGCCACACCCAAAGACACTTTGCTTCCTGGCTTATCTCAGTTCTCCGGTTGTCCCTGGTCCGACTTGTGTAGTTAAGGTGTTTCCACCTTGTCCGTTCCTGAGAAAGACCTGGGCTCAGAGTGGAGGGCTGAGCAGCCGCATCCATCCAGCTGACACAGGGACTTCTCCAGTGCCGCAATCCATCCCAGGAGGTGACACCAGAGACACATACCTGCTGAATGTCACAGGACAGGTATGCAGCTGCCCGAGGCTCATGGGCATATGTGCTTATGAAAATACCCAAGGTTCAGCCATGACAGCTACTTCCCAAGCAGGGCCTCTCCTCAGCCACATGCTCAGAGGGGTATTAGGACCAGCTCCAGCTTCGTGCAGACCTTCCCTGAATTATCTCAGACCCCAATGCTGGCATAGCCCAGATCAGTGCTCCCACTTGCCCCCCCCCCCCATATCACCACCTCATTGGAGCTGAAGGTTGGTGGGATTGGTGAGCTCAGTTCACAGCTGCCATAGCCTCCTGATGCCACACGATGTCGCTGCTGGGAAGCACCCCGCCGAGTGGAGGAGGCGGATCAGCGTGCAGCCAGCGCCCCTCACTGGCTGGTCAGAAGGGTGGCTCATGTGACGAATAGGTTAAGATGGCAGAGACTGAAACAGGGCTCCCTTCCCAGGGCAGGCCCCAGAAATAGACCCTTGGGCCTAAGCACATGGCCTTCCTGTAGCCTTCTGCACAACCCCTCACCCCCATACATGCCTGACAGGAGTGGTGTAGACAGGTATACATAACCCCAGATGGACTCATGCTGGGTCACACTGCACAGGGTTGTGTGTCTTCCTTTCGTAGAACAGCGAATGAGAGCTGGTATTCACTTGCTATGTAATATCTTCTGAATCAACGCTGATCATTACACTATATGCAGCATTCATTTTATATTATAGATCTGATATGTGTGTGTATATATACATATACATATATATATATATATATATATATTTCGTGGGTCTCAGTCGCAAGCCCTTGGCTGTGGCTCTGTGACTCCTGAGCCCCCCAAAAGCTGGATCCTCTGTCGCTGCTGCACCTGTCACACCCAGAAGACTCCCCCACCCCCGCCCCAGGAGGTGAGTCATCCCAGGAGGAGTGAGGATGTGCAGGTCTTGCTCCTGCATGACTCAGCTCCACTTCCTTATGGTGCCTGGGCTCTGAACGGTTCTGTGGAACCTGGCTTCCTTGCATTGAGGTCACCCTAGTTCCAAACTGCTCTCCTCCTTGGCCTTGAACTAGCTTGTCCTCAAGGTCACTAATGTACATCCTGATTATAGTCCCAGCCTGCCTGGATGGGGTGTATCCTAGGACCAGCTGATTGCGGAATCCCGTTGGCCCCTAGACAGCACCCCAGCCCATCTGTCCCCCCATCATATCCCGGTACAAGGACCAGCCCAGGAGCCACTTCTTAGATTGGCCAGCAGGTGGCATCAGGTGTCCGGCCAGTGACCAGGACCTTCCTGTGTACTTTCCCTGAGGCACTATCATCTGGGGTGCCCTGGAATCCTGACTCCACCCTCTCAAGTGGGGCTGGTTTGCTCCCCCAATAGGAAGTGGAAGTGAGGAAGAGAATACACAGTCTCTGGAATTTCCACTCTGCAGAGTGTTAGGTGGCTCCCACCCTGACAGGTGGCATCTCCCAGGAAGCTACCCTGACTGCAGGGCTCCTCAGAGCTCTCAGATGCCCTCGACCCCAGGGCTGCCTCCAGGTGGCCACTGTCTATTCTTGTCTTGTATCCTTGAGCTCTGCCGGGCCCAGGACATTTCTCGCTGGGGTGTAGGAGTCAGGAGGTGGCTGTGATCTGCTTACACAGACACAGCTAGGTGTGGTAGCTGGAGGCTGGGCCTGTGTGAGGATGAAGGGGTGAGGGGCTGGGCTGAGCAGGAGAGCGTGGGGGGGGGGGCAAGGGATGGTGAAGACGGTGAGCAGAACTCCTCCCAGGGAAGGGCAGGAAGGATTCCCCTCTAGGTCCTGAGGCCTAGCAAGGGTGGGTGGACAGAAAGGACACTCAGAGGACAAGAACTGACAGACATGACTGGCTAACCAACTACAGGATGAACATAGGTAAGGTGACGGCTTATTAGCCACCATGGCCCCAAAAGATAGCAGTTCACTCCATGAGGTCTGACTATCTACGTCTTTGGGTGTCTAGCTGCCAGCTCCTACACAGCCGTCAAGACCCAACTCAGATAGCCCTACTTTGGGAAGTTCTTCCTGTTGCTTAGACTCTTCTGGGTACTTACTTAGAGTCCTCTGGGTACTGGGTACTGGACCTAGCACGGTATTAGATCTTCGAGAGTGGCAGGCTAGGTTTGAGAGCCCTGGCAGCCGAGGATGGCCGCAGGTAAGTATTAAGGTAGTTGGTCTGCCCAGGTGTGCCCATATAGGTGTGTGGGTGCCCAGAGCTGAGGCAGGTCAGGACTCAGGACGGAAGTTGGGCCTAAGGGCAGCTACCATGGGGAGAAGGTCAAGGTCTCGAGGAGAGCCATGCCAACATCCACAAGGGACGGCCCTTGGCATCTGGTCAGGTAAGAAAAGATTCTACATTCCTAGCTAACCCTAGCCCAGAACTGACCCCTCTCCCAACACTACCTTAATGAAGGCTTAGGGCCCCTGGTAGAAAGATAAATAGATGGCCATTTGGCCTAGGGATGGAAAGTTACATTCAGGGCCACCCCAATATTGTCCTGAGGGAAGCAGGCATGAAAGGGTGGGAATTTCTTGGATCTGGTCAGGACTCTGGGCTGAGACACACTGGAAGCCATCCTGGGCTGTGCTCTGAGTACTAACTTGGAGTCGCAGAGTCTGTGGTTCCACTGGTGTCGAGGCCAAATGCCCTCTCCAGGGCGTGGGCCATAGAGAGGCACATGAGAGATTGTAGTAGTCACTACCCTGAGCAGCTCTTGCAACCCTTTGTCCACACAGACATGCGGATGCTGTGGTTAGCTCTCACATCCCCTACCACCAGCACCTGTACTTCCAGAATGACCAAGGACCAGTTGTAAATTCATGTCAAAATGCTTTTATTTTTATCCGGGCCCCACACCGCTGAGCCCACCCAATCTGTGGCACAGGCTCTCCACGTGGCTTGCTGAGCAGGGGCCTCCATGTGCATGTGACCCTGGGCTCCTCAGGGAAGGCAGTAGGTTGTATAGTTATCTTCTAAGGGGCAACATCACTGCCCTGAAACCACACAACCTACTACCTCACCCTGCGGGGTCCACGTTCTGGAGGAGGCCCAGCCGCTCCCCGCCCACCCTGGCCACAGGCCGCCAGAGCCATATGGCACAGCTGGCACAGGGCAGGGGGGGAGCAGAGACAGTGGCTCAGCAAGAAAGGCCTGTACCCACCAGATGGATGAGGGACGTCTCCAGTGTCTGAACCCACCACCCCAGGGACAGCAGTCTACAGTCCAGCTGCAGGCTCTGCCCACAGGGTGCCCAAGCCGGCTAGAACCCTCCTCTCCCTTCCTTCATGGAAAAGCTGCCTTGTCTCTATGTAGATGGAGATGCTGCTATTCAACAGAGGCCTGCCCTCGTGCTGACAAGCCTGGGCATATGCCAGGTCTGGAGTGTGCGGCAACTCTGGAACAGAGTTGAAGGTGCAGTCCGGACCCTTTCTTCAGGGAGGCCTGTGAGGCCAGGACTCATAGCCTAATATGATGGGGTCGGGAGAAGGAAAGTCGCTTCAGCATGGCCAAGGGAGAGGAGGTGCCCTGGAAATGCCACACATCTGCACACCCCCACGCCTCAACCCTTACAGATAACCAACAGACCAGCGAGGTCAAGGGACTGTCCAAGGTCCCTGTCAGACATGGCAGCTACCACCCCCTGCGCCTCCCTCAGCCTCCCTCAGCCTCCCAGGCCAGGCTGGCGTTGCGTCCTCTGTAGATATTGCAGCCACTTCAGGAAAGACAGTAGATTGTATAGTTACCGCAGAGCGGGGCAGAGCCCAAAACCATACAACCTACTACCTCACCCCAAAGGCCGTCCGTCAGTCTTGGTGTCGAGCTGGATGCTACGGCGTCTGGAGATGCCTCCTAGAGGAAGAAGAGCTGGGAACATGGTGAGGGGCCCAACATGGCCAGTTTGGTGCTAAGGGATTCCCCCACAGTGGGCCAGGACACTTAAAATCACCAAGCAGAGAGGATGACGGAAGTGGGGGCGGGGAGAAGAGAGAAAAAGCTGATCAATCACTAGGCAGGAATGGCCACAGTGGGGGAAGGGTGTCACTTGTCAAAGGCCAGCCAGGTCCAGGGAGCTTCCAGCATCCACCTGGCTGAGACCCAGTCTCTGTGATGAAGCACAGGAAGCGCTGGAGGCACCAGGACTCCAGCGAGGCAGCGGACTTGGGCATGCACCCTCCTCTTTCACAGGAAGAGCCCCTCCTTGAGGACTCTGGTTCTGTCTCTGCCTCCCCCCAGGGTGGCCTGAGCTGACCTTGCTATGGGAGGCTCAAAACCATCTTTTTATCCTTGTGGGAGGCAGCCTAACTCCCCATGGTGGCCAGCTGGGCGGAAGTGCAGACCCTGGCTGGACACTGATGGCCAGTCTGTCCTTGGCGACTAGCACTTCCTGAAGCCAGCGGGGGCTCTGTGTTTGGCTCTGAGCTTGGGACTCCCAGAGCTTTGGACAGAGCCCAGCAGGGAGGAAGACCTGGTAAGGACAGGCGGCCCGGTGTGGGTCTTGCCACTGTGTAGTGGGACAGGTGAGGCCCACTCTGGGACAACAGTCACCCTGTACTGTGAGCCTGTACCACTCACAGCCACTAGCTTGCAGGGGACCCTTGGGCAAGTATACTGTAAGCCCGCCTTATAAGCAAGGCCTTCAGCCTGCCCAGCTGAGCATCCTTCCCACCTTGTAAGATGCGTCCGTAGCTCTCTGCTCCCGGGTACCAACAGAGTCTTGGAGACTCAACTGCAGGCCTCCTTCCATAGTTTTCCTGGGCAGGCACAAGGCTGGGTGGAGACATCTCCTCCTCCAGCTGGGAGGTGGGGTCACTGTGAAGACACAGGCTCTAGCCCCGAGGTGGCTCTACTCTCAGGCCTCAGACAGCAATGCAGAGGGAAGCTCTGTGCCCAGTACCAGGAAGCCAACCAGCTTTGGTTCTCTGCATGAACCCTAGCACCTGATGCCACACCTCCCTCTCCCTGCCAAGGGTGACAGGAGCAAGTCCAAGGACCCTGGGGCCATTAGGCTTAAGTCCACACTGTGAACCCAGTCTACGAGGCAGAGTGGATTGGGAACACGGCCCCAGAGCGCTGTCCAGCCCGAGAAGGACATCTATGTGAACCTCAGGGGTGCTATCCCCTGCCTCAAGCCTGTACCCTTTTACTAAGAGACAGGTCACATATCCCCAAGGATGGTCCAAGCAGATTTAGCGAGGCAGGAAGGCATGGGAAGAGAGTGGCTCAGTCCCACCCCCACCCCGTGTTCCCATCTACGATGAGTGGACCAGGTGGGAAGGCGGAGGTGTCACTGACTGGCCATGATTAACCTTGTCAGTTCCCAGGATGCACCTGGACATGGTAGAATGACCAGAAGTCACTTTTGCCAACGCCATCTGAGCCTTTCAGAAACACCTTGAAGAAGGAGAGAAGGCACACCTCGGCATGGGCCTCTCAACATTTCGTGTTCTGCCCCTGGCCAGCAGGATACAATATCGTAAGCAGGGTTGCCTGGGAGGTCTGGGCTGCCTCTCACTGGGGACCCTCGGGGATTCTCAGCAGCTCCTTGGCCAGTGTAGTTAGCCATCAGCAGGAGGCTGATACGCTGATACGTGCCACTGTGATAGCCCCCAAAAGTGCCTGTCCTGCCTCTGCTCCTGACCACCCTCCCCGAGTCTGGGCTTCATTGCAACATGCAGAACTCATGGCATCTGTAGGAGAGAAATAGCGGGTGACAAGCATCTGGGTCCCTCCTTGACCGTGGCCACCCCACCCTGCGCCTTAGCCCAGCCTGGGAGGCATGGCTCTCCTGGCAGGGGGTTCTCCATCAGTGCTGGGATCACACTGGAGAGCTGAGTGATGGTGACAGGGGACAGAGAGCTGCCTTTGAGGTCCCCAGAGAGCTCTCAGGCTGGGTGACCTGAAGGGTGTGAGCCTACAGACAGTGTTGCCTCAGGGTAGCAAGGCTGTGTCTCAAAGCCAGTAATGGATGGAACTGCAGCTCCCTTAAACCACATCCAGCCCAGGTAGCCCGATGTGGGGGGTCAAAGCTCATCATATCACAGTGCATCATAGGTAGATGAGATGAATCCCCCGGGGGCAGTCTGCTGGTGGGGGGCACAGGCCTCCAGGTAAGGGCGTCTACGCTGAGGTCCTGGAGCAGTGGCAGGGTTGTGATTCTGACCCTAGTCCTTCTCACTCTGAGGTCTCCCATGGCTCCCTACTCTCCCGAGGAAGGACAGTGAGGCCCTACTCACCACAGGGAAATCGGCTGCATGCAGAAGCTCCTGCTTGACACTACTTCCTGACCTGTTTGGGTTTAGAAACAAAAGCAACAGTCATCAGCTTCCGAAGGGAGACAGCCCAGCCCCCGGATGCCTCCCCTTGCTGTACCCTGCTAGCCCTCAGCACAGTGACATTTTCATCCAGTCTGTCTGCTGCCTGGTGACACTCTGCAGCAGGCAAAGGCTTGGATGGAATGGCCTCTCAAACCAGCTGGCCAGAGACTATGACTCAAACTTCGTCCACGGTGGTCAAGCATGTCTATGTGGGTGGTCAGTGACCCATGTGGCCACTGACTGTGGGGCCTGAGAGAAGCAGCGCTGCGTGGGGACAGGCTTATACTCTCTCTCACATACACTGTGGTAGTTAACTGGACCCCGGAAAGAGTTAGTCCTCTCTCAGAGGTTGTCAGCAAGATGCAGCTTCCCAAGATAGGACAAGTGGGGCCTGAACTCTCCCTCCTGAGAGCTGAGAGCCAGAGAAGGGACTCACTGGATCACAGACTTCCTCCATGAATCCAGTCACCACCCTACTTCCCTTGGGCCATTCTGACCAAGGCATCACGGCAGGGCCAGCAGAGACATGGAAGGCCAAGCAGGGACATGGTGGCAGTGAGGGAGCAGCCTAGCCAGCTGAAGGGCTCTGGGTGCGGAACAGAGACAAGGCCTGCTTTGGATCTGCCCATAAGCCAGAGCAGTTTGTTACAAGCCTGACTATTCCTGCACATCTCAAGGAGAGGAAGATGAGACCATTGGCTATCGAGGGTGGTGAGGATACAAGGGTGGGAAAGGCCCTCCCTCCCTGACTACCAGCCTTTCTTGTTACCACCAAGATGGCCAAGCCATCCATCATCGGACACCCTTTCTCTGATCCTTTCCACCGTGCCCGTCAGCCCCGCCCCCAGCCCACAAAACAGCAGAATGCCCTGGGCAAGCCTCCTCTGCCCTCCTTGGCCATCTCCCAGGCCCTCCCCACCTCCTGGCTTTTGCCCTGGTCTGTCCCTCTGCCGGGAACCACTGGCCTGTGGTTCCTGCTCCTTCCCACAAGGTTTCCGCTCCCCAGGAGGCCTCACTCTGCCCAGGGTGCTAGTCTGGCGAGGCTGGCCCACAGGTGCCTGTCTCAGACCCATTTCCCTCAGGCATCTCTCCATGCTCTGGTGGCAGGCCCGGCTACCATGGCCACTCAGTTCTTAAGACGACTCTGCCCTACACAGGGGTACACTGGTTCCACGAGACTCCGGAAGGGTCACCCTTACTTGGTCTGTGGTCACCTTTACTTGGTCTCTGAAGCTGAATGTGACAGAATGAGGAAAAGACCCAGTTCATACTCGAGAAGTGCCAGGATTAGCTTGACCACTGGCCTCCGCCCTGGGGGATGGGACTCACATAAATGCCTCCTTTCTTAACGGGTAACAGGGAAGGGGTCCTGAAACAAACCAAAGGGACCCAGTGGGGCGAGGCTGGAGGAGGGCCAGTGGCGGGGCGGGCAGTGCACATGAATGGCGATCCTGAACAGGTCGCCAGGGAGTGAGCAGTCAGCAGGCACCCTGCCATCTGCCAGCTGCCACCTCCCAGCCTTGTCCTAGTCCTGTAGTGTCTGCCCACGGGCAGGGTGCCTGGGGGAGGAGCCAGGCTGGCCAGGACAGGTGCGCCAAAGGCCTAGGCAGGCAGGTGGCCCTTTCAGTGCTGGGCGGATGTCTGGAGGGAGAGAGGCAGACAGACGGTGTCACCCTGAAGTCACCTCAGGCTTGGCTTGGGGCCACCAAGAGTCAGACCCCCCCTCCATGGCAGCCTCCCCCTCCTGGTCTCCCTGATTAGGTTTCTCCCATAAAGCCGCCAGTGTCTCTGCTCAGTAGGCCGTGCCAACAGCGAGTCTGGGAACGATGGGAGGGGTGGCATCCGGCTGGGCAGAAGGCGGGTCTCCTTGTGAACATGGCCCATAAAGTTAGCAAGATGCATGCTTACTGACTAGGCCTAGGTCAGTGTGCCCAGAGGCGGGCCATGCCTACTGAGGAGTCTCTTTGGTCTGGCTAAGACAAGCATGTTAGGGGTGACCAAAATCTCAGTCACTAAGACAAGTGAGGCCTTTGTGTAAACTTTAGCAAAACGACTAATGTGATCACTCCAGACATTACAAGATCATATTTGAACAAAGATGACCCAGGTTTGCTCAGTGCCCTGGCTTCAGACTGGACTGCTCTGACAGGTCCGTGGGGAAGTACCCACAGGCTTGAACATCCTTTTCCAAAAGTGTACCACAAGGATGCAAAGTCAAACCTGGAGCTAGCATCTAAGTGCCTCGGACCTGGCTCTCTCTAGCCCTACACACCTCACACTGATCCCGAGGTGGATTTGACCTGCACTGGGCTTTGAGCAGACTCGAGAGCTGTGGTACCCTGGTAGCATGCCCACCCCTAGAATAGAGGTAATGAACACTGTGATCCATAGCAAAATTCACGAGAGAAAAGGGGAGACTCAGGGTCTAGAGCCTGGCTGGGAAGGCCCAGATCTGAACCTAGCCCTCTTCATCTAGAAATAGGGTCCGAGACAAAGTCAGTCGGCAGTTGGCTCTGTGCCTTCTCTGGAGGGCTAGTGAGATAGCGGTCTGGTATAGACAGTAGTGGGAGTCATGATGGCGTATGCCTAGGGCAAAGCACCGAAGGCCTGTGGTACACTGGGCAAGGCCCTTGCGGGGCCCTCCTGCTCCCTGCACTCCGCCTGGGGCTGGACATTTAGCTACAGGTTACCAGCTCTGGCCACTCATCCGCAGATATTCCCCGACCCAAGCACTGTCCAGGACATAGGAAGGTGCGTGGGAAATGACTTCAGATGCCACACTGTGGGGCACGTACTCTGCCTGCTCTTTGACTCCCTCTGGACCTGGCCCTTCCTGGGGAGATTTTTCTCATTCTAGGAAGCCTATACTCCAGGACCCCGGGAGGTTCCATCCTGGTCTGGGCAGGTGGGTTTTGGACTGCAGGGTTTCCCTGGAAGGGGACATGGCCTGAGCAAGCCTCACTTCATGGTGACAGAATGTTCTTCCTGGGAGCTGTGGGAAGAAAGAAGCCTGGGGCTGGCATCCAGCTAGCTCCCTAGATGGGACAGCTTGGCCCTACTGTCTACACATGGCTTCTTGCTATGCTGGTAGAGGGCACGGGGTGAGGCAGGGCCATGGAGCAACCCCCATGCTGCCCAAGAGTCAAAGACATTTTATCCCACACCCTTCCCTGCTTCCCAGCGAGCTACCCCCTAGCTTCTTTTGAGGAACACCCCCCTCACAGGGGTGGCGGGGCTGTTTGGCCATTCCTGGCTCCCAGAACTTGCCCCGTTTGTCCTACTTTGGGAAGCTGGACAGCACTGTATGACGATGACCCGGGGACGCTGGGGGTGCTGTGGGCCTGGATGGCGTCATTAAGGCAGCACTCTGGGAGGTGCTGCTTCTGATCTCTAGGAAGGCAGAGGAACCGTGTGACAGGGAAAAGTTTCTTCTACCTCAGAGCCCCAGTGGCCCACTGGGTAGCCTTGCTCTTGGAGCAAAGCAGCCTCCTCTAGCAAGCACCTGGACTACTTGATGACATCATAGGTTACCCAGGCCAGGAGACAGACTGGCCGCTGTGAAACCCTGGCATTCTATATCACGCTCAGCCAGGGATCCCCAAGGTCCCTGGTCAGGTTAAGGGTATGAGGGGCATTTGGAGGCCAGAGGCTTTTCTCTCAGGGAGACCTAACTCAAATCTACGCTTGTTGATGGCCACATTCAGGAACCTGGTACCGCAGTACAGACATCATTTCTAGAACCATCCATGCCGGCCCAGCCCCTGCCAAGGACAGTGCTGGTGGCTGGCTTTTCCCGACTCTGATGTGCAGCCTCCTTCTCTGTTTGCTTGGTGGGTAGTAAGGCAGAAGTGGAGCTGGCTAAGGGGCCAGGACTCCCAGGCACCTTTGCCAAGCAGCTGGTTGTGCCAAGCCTGGGGCAGCTATGGCCAAAGCCAAGTGGGGGTTGGGGGAGCGCTGGTCCTGGGCTCTGTCCAGGCCACTCGGGGCAGGCAGGAAGCAGGGGTCTCCAAGGCTACTGCTTGTTTCAGCTACAAAATGGCGGAGGGCTGTGTCGGCCATTTTGTGGCACCCTTGGAAGACAAAGGCCGTGGAAGCCAGAGGGTGGGACCAGTGGATGCCTGGCAGGGAGGAGAAAGAACAACCTACCAGATCAAGGCTTTGCCCTGGGCCGAGGCCTGAGATGGTCTGGTCAGAGAAAATAGGTCAAGCCATCCCCTTCCAGAACTCTCCTCCCACCCAAGTTCCAAACTGGCTCTGGGCTTCCAGAGACTCCCACACTTCCCCTCAAGGGGCTCCAGGTGGCCCACGGTGACGCCTCCCGGGCCCGAGCTCCTCTCTAGAATCTACAGGACATGTCCTTATCTGCCCGGGTTGGGAGGCCCCAAGCCAAGGGGCTCAAGTGCCATCCTATGCTCCAGGAACGAGTGGGCTAGATAGTTCCTTCCTGTCTGGGGCCAAGAGGTCAAGGGATCAGTTGCCAAAGCGGCCATCAACAGGACGGATGCCAGGAAGATTTTCTTCAGGAGCATACAGCTACCACTATCCTACTTTCTACAGATCCAACTAGAACAGCCCTAGCTTTTTCATCTCGTTCCAGCTGCTTCTTAAACAAGTGACCATCATCTATTCAATTCCCCTTTCCGGCTCCTGGCCAGGAGTCCCTCTGCCCCCTCACCACAGCTGGTCTCCAAGCCTCTCTAGACAGAGGGCAGCAGGTACTCCAGAGGGCTGGATCAGAATTGCTTTGTGCCTCCTCCCCATCATAGCCTCTGCTCTACTCAGAATCCAGTTACACAGTCGGGGCAAAGAAAACAGCTCTAGGGGGTACAGGTCTCACCTCAGGCTGCCTCCTTTGGACCTGTGCAGAGCAAAAAATCTGTGTGGAGTACAATCCCACTTCACAGGTAGCCAGTCTGAGGCCCAGGGGACAGGGAAGCCACCTTGCAGGGTGGGGTGGGTCATAGGAGAGATGCAACTCCCACAGCCAAGGGTTTACGCCTCTGACAGGGACCAGCCAGTCGACAGGAATCCAGGGCAGGGCCTGTGACAGAACAGAAACAAACAAAAACGAGAGTGGAATTGAGAGGAGTCCGCGTCATCTTTACAGGGTAACACTGCCATGGTGATGTGGCAAGGGAGAGTGCCACCAGACATCACCTGTTCAGCCATAGTGGTCCTGATAATGCTATAGAGTGTTAACAGCACGGTGGCCTCTTTCAATCACTAAGGACTTCTCCTCAGAGGGAAGCCACATGGTTCTGGCTTCAAGTCCCCAGCCACTCAAGAGTGCTGTAACCTCACGGGCCAGTTCTGGGTACACACTAAGGACCCATACGTGTGAACACAGTTTAGGGGTGGTGGTGGTACTGGGGACTGAACCCTGGCCTCTACCATTGAGTGTCATCTCCTACCCTTCAAAATTTTTATTTTGAGGGTCATGCTAAGTTTCCCAGGCTGACCTCGAATTCATTCTATATAGCTCAGGCTGGCCTCAAACTTTTAGTCTTCCTAAGTAACTAGGCCTTTGCCTCGAGGCCCAGCAAATGAGAGCATTTGGTACCTTCGACGTGCCGGGCACTGTTAAATTCCTTACTACTAGGGTTCACTTTGTCCTCGTGACAACGGGATCCTTGGCTAACTGGTGGAACACAGAGAGGCTGTGACTGTGCCCTCCACCCCACCCCCAGCCACGGGACAGCATGGGTGTTTTCATCCTCCCGTGTTTTAGGGATAAGGAAACAGAGAGAACTCAGGTACATTGTGACAGGTCACTAAGTTGTTCGGAGGGATCAGAGCCTCTCTGAGAGCCTCCCAAGAAGCTCCCCATCATGGAAGGCCCACGGTGCCTTCCACAGGGCCTTTCAGCTTCTCAGGATCGTCTCTCTGGAATCATCCTCACTCAGCCTGGCTGGCAGGGGGTCCTTGGGAGCTGGAGGCTAGAATACTACATGAAGACAGAGCTGGTGCTGGACCAAGGCTAGGACTTTTGTAGGTTAGCAATTACACTGGAGCCAACGACCAAATGCAAGGTATTTGTAAGACTAAATAAAGAATGTCCTGGGGCTGGAGCAATGGCTTAGCAGTTAAAAGCACATTTTGCTCGTCTAGAGAAGCCTGGTTGTATTCCAAACATCGCGTGGTTGTTTACAACAATCGGCAACTCCAGTTCCATGAGATCCAGTGGCCTCTTCTAAACTCTGGGAGCACACGGCACAAACGTGGCTCACAGACACACATGGAAGCAAAATACTGACACACATTAATTGTTTTTTTTTTTTAAAGAAAATCTTTTTGTTTGCTTGTTTTTTTTTTGTTTTTGTTTTTTTAGAGTTTTTCTGCATAGCCCTGGCTGTCACTCACTCTGTAGACCAGGCTGGCCTTGAACTCAGAGATCCACCTGTCTCTGCCTCCTGAGTGCTGGGATTAAAAGTGTGTGCTGCCACCACCAGGCGAAAAATCTTTTTAAAAATGTTTAAGAGATCTGGAGCTAGAGCTCTGAGAGTGGGGTGCCTGGATAGCAAGCCTCCAGCCCTGGGCTCAATCCCCAGCAAGCTATACCCTGGGTGTAGTGGCTCACATCTAAAATCTAAGCACCCAAGAGGTGAAGACAGAAGGATCAAGAGTTCAAGGCCACCTTCAATTGTGTGCAGAGTTCAAGGTCAGCCTAGGCTAGAGACCTTACCTAAAAAACACACTACCTGGCTATTAGATGAATCTGTGTCCTCCCTCACCCTTCAGAGATCTGGGGCAGCTGGTCTCCTGACTGGGAGTGTCAGACTCTGGGAATCTGGAAGTCCCATATCTAACTTCCAGTGTGCTTCTCCTTTGGTTGTCCAGCCCACTGACCCCAAGACTCAGCTTCCCTCCGAGACTGCGCAAGGCCATGAGACTACCATTGCTGGGTTGGTGGTCGGCTGAGGTTGGCTACTTGGCTACTTGCAGGGGCCAACACTTCAAGCACAGTAGGGACCATGGCTGGCTAAACATGCAGGGGTAGAGCTCAAAGCCAGGGGCTTGCCTGTGCTCAGACCTCCCCGGCCCAAATCCAGTCTGGCAGATTTCATGGGGTGCAATTCCAACCTTGCCAACTAAACCCTAGAGCCCCAACTTCCCAGTCTAAGCTGGTGTCTCAAAGACCCCATGGTCCAGTGTGCCCAGGACACAGGGGAGATGGGGCTAACTCTCTCCACCAGAAGAGATCCCTAGAAAGGAGAATGGGATGGTAAACCCCATATTGTGTATTGGGGGGTGTCTCTGAAACTGTCACTAACACCTGCACTGAGTAAGCACCTACTGTATACACCCAGTGCATCTTGTGTGCATGGAGCTAAGTAGGGACTGGGTCATGGACCAGGATTGGCCACCCTCCCCAACCCAGCCCATTCTTTTCTGTTCCGGACCCTTCCTCATATGTCTTGGCCCAGGAGCCCTCTGGGACTCTCACCTCTGCTCCTAGCGTCCTGCACCCAGTCTCCTATGCACATTAGCTCCTGGGACTCAGAGACTCAGGGGCACATTCCTAGCCTGAGCCCTGGTGAAAGGTACACTGTTGGGACTCTAGAGGTTCATCTGTGCCCATGGGACAGTGGGGTGTGTGTGTGTGTGTGTGTGTGTGTGTGTGTATTAAAGGCTTCCTGGGGGCTAAGATGGGGTATGACAGGCAGGTCTGTCTTAGGGTAGGTACTCCAGAAAGTCCAGGATCAATAGACTAATCAGAGCCCCTTGGCCAGGAGCTACTAGGTGCCTAGGGATACCTGGGCCAGCTGCACTCTTGAGGTAGTTCAGGTGTTCAGAGGCTCTGGGCTCTCCCGCTTGGTCCTATCCCATCTACTGAGTTCTGAAATCCCGCGCCCCATACACACACCTGTCTATTTGCCCTACTCTCAAGCAATGGCTGACATCCCTCACCTCAGGTGCAGACACAGACACTAGGGTTGTGTGTGGCAGTTCATCTACACCAAAGCACAGACAGTAGAGGGATCCCAGGCCCAAATACGGACCTCTCTAGCTTATACAAGAAGGCGTGGGACCCTGCCTACAGCCTGGGTGATGAGACTGCCCTTGACCATGGCCACACCAATTTCCTGGATCTAGATTCATCTGGATAGGTCCAAGGCTATACTTGGCATCTGGCTCTTTGCAGGCAGGGACAAGTGTGAGCACAGCTCCCAGATCCCTCTGAGCACTAGAGACACAGGTTCACAGTTCTAACTGTAAAGTGTCCAAGGCAGAGGAAACAGGATCTTTGTCACTGAGTCCCGAGTAATACTGCAGTTATTGTATACGTCCTGAGGTCATCTCATTGTGCCCCCAGCATCTCCCTCTTGATGGCTGGGGCAGAAAGATGGCCCACTCTAGGGTCCTGGGTGCACCTGGATATGCCCAGACATCCTAGAGTCCCAGAAAGAGACCGCCAGGGGTTGAGGCTGCCCCGTCAAGGCCCAGCATATGCAAACCTCCAGGTCTGTGTGGCATGAACCCATAGCAGTATCCAGGAGAGCTGGGGAAGGTGGCCCTGAGTTCCATAAACAACCAAAATGTTGCTCTGACCTGGGCTGGACAGGGGTCCTTGAGCTTCAGAGGTCACCTGGGAGAGTTGTCGAGAAGAGGCTGATGCCTAGAAGGAAAGAGACACCTGTTAGGTGCTGGGGTACGTCCATGAACACTCCTTTTGCATTTGTATCATTTCCTACAAACACCAACCTGCAAGGGCCCACAAAAGGCCTTGGCACAGCTTAGGAGACACTTGGAACTCAGGGTAGCTCATGGCCAAATGTTGGGGCTCAAATCTCATAAAGTCCTGGTCCTACCCCTCCTACAAGGACCTGGTCACGAAGGACCGAGAGACTGCATGGAGGAGCCATCCCTGGAGGGAATGTCACTGCCAGAGAACCTCAGAGTTCTGGCCAAACTGCTGGCGCTGGACCTCTGGTGGGTGACACAGCCTGCCAAGGGCAGAGTGGGCACCCTGCCCTACCTAAGTGATGTATAACAGGTCCAGGCCTTCAAGCGGCTAGGTCATCCCAATCGATGAGGCCTCTGCGCACCCTCCTCAAAACTAACTTGAAACCACGGAGCCCTACAGGTCTGGGCTCCTAGATACAGGTCCTTGCTCAGCCATATGAAGAGAGAAGACAGCACAGCGCCACCCACTGGACAGAGGCAGATACAATGCCTCAACTGGATGGCTGAGTCGTGGAGAGCTGATTCTGAGCCTGTGGAGGCTGGCTGAGGGGAGGCTGCGATCGGGGTTGCAATCTGGCTTCAGTGTATTACACAGTCTTTCCCTGTCAGGGAACCTACAGTTTCCAAAGACTGTCTAGCTCCCTGGGTCTTCCCCCCTGAGCTACAGGTATTTAAGGGTCACTACTCAGCCCCTGATCTCCACCAACGAGTATCTCTGCCCATTCTGTGGGCCGGCACACTGAGGCTTAAATGCTAACAGAACCTATCTGGATAAATGGCAGGTAGCAAGGAGGTTGGAGGAGAGGGTCCAGTATGCCTACTGCATGACTGGGCTGCAAGAGGCTGTCTCAGAGCTAATTCTGCCCTCCACCACAGGCAATCTGTCCCTGTCGGATTCCATCTGCTTCAAGAGGACAAGTCAGGCCATCACAGCCTGCAGGGCAGAAGGCAGGGCTGAAGCAGGGACCCAGAATCCTTGGCACTGTCTCCTGTCCTGTCCTGGGCAAGGATCTCTTCCACTGGTCGGAGGCCAGGATGAGCCCCTGAGGGGATGAGGGCAGGGTAGGCCTGGCAGCAGGTAAAGCCTCTGAGGGGAGGACTGGCCCTGGCTTCTCTCGTGGACTCCTGTCTGCCAGTATACTATCATCTCCAGGACTATTTCCGGCGGAGTGATGGAGCGAGATCTCTGCCCAAGTGGGGCAGACCGTACCTGTGTATGAGGTCCTCCAGGGTCTTCTGATACACTTTTCCTTTCCTGGGAGGCTCTCTGGAGCAGCCATGTTCTGCAAGACATAAGGAAATTAAAAAAAAAATGAGGTGTCACCTTGGCAGGTCGTGTAGCTTGGACAGAGAAAGGTCAGAGGTAGTGTGGCCCTCCCTCCCTTGGTTACTCCCACAGCCACCTCTAGATAAGACAACCCGTGCGCTATTCACTGTGGCCTTGGCACCAGAGGCCTGGAGTTCCAGGTCACAAGAGACAGAGGACAACACAAGAGAGCCAAGCCTGGCTTTAACCAGTTCCAGCCGGCCAGGAACCACATTCCAAACCAACTCCCTGCCAAGGCTCCTAGGCAGCCAAATCACACAGAAGACCTAACCTCTACCCTAGAGTCCTCTGTGACTATAGGGGAAGGGCTCATGGGGCTTGGCTTACTGGTGCCTGGCTAAGATCCTCCCTTAACTCCAACCCTACTGTGGTACCCACAATTCCCTGTGGGCGGAATGTCCTCCGGCCGCCATAGATGACCACCCCAGCATGCACTGTCAGGCAGCACTGGCATTGGGAGTCCCTCCACCTCACCGCACAATGCCTGCACTGCCCCTGCAGACTTGGGATCTTTCAGACAGGATGGCCTTCCACTCGCATTTATCGCTGGGCCTAGCAGTGCCTGGCATCCACAAGTGTCCATTACCTGCCTAACTCTGGGAATGACACTTGATACCTGGGGTTTATGAGGTATAAACAGGACTTTGGGGCATTACTAAGAGGTAAGTAACTTCAGTTGTCACTATGAGCCAAGAAGGGGGGGGGGGATAGGCCAGGATTGACAACAGGACACCAGGACCAAGGGTCAGCCTTGACCAGAAGGCCTCCCAGGCTCCCCCCTCATCCCTACACATCTGGGTGTTTTGGCCTTGGACAGAATTGCCTGCTTCTCTCCTGCCCTCCTGAGTCCACCATGGTTCAGGCATCCACACTTCCACGAGCTCTGGGTTCTAAGAAGGCTCAGGGTATCCTCTTAGGATTGTGGCCTTCTCCAGGATTTGTCACCAGGGGACCAGGGGCTACTCTCTCATGGACAAGTCAAAAGCAGTGAGGGTCGTCACCTCGTCCTGCTTAGATAAGCATTATCGCCAGAGAGTGATTTTTCATTAAACTCTCTAGGACCTAGAGGGACTCGGGATTCTTTCCTAACGTGCCGGGCCCCGAGGCCCACTAGGGACCACTGGCATCCCTCTGTCTCCACAGGCTGCTAGCACCCACAGGTGGAACTGGGAGCCCACGAGAGCTTCATGCTGTTCTTCATCCACACAGGGCTGTGAAGGCTCCAGAGAAGCCGGTGGGCAAGAGGGAAGAGGAGAGCCCAGGGCTGGGGCTGCTAAGTCCAAGCCTCCGACCCTATCTTTTGAGAAAGGACTGTCCTGTACCCTTGACAGCTAAACCCCTCCCATCTCTTCTTTTGGCCTGGACCAAAAGTAAAACCCCCTCCACTTCTGGGCCCACAGTGTACAGATTACCCAATTTAATGATCTCAGGACAGCTGCCTGCTATTCACAGATCCTGCAGCCTGGACAGGCAATCCCATGTCCTAACCTCACCAGGGGAAAGTGGGCCGGACCCATCTCTTGGGCTCCAAGGCCTCCCTAGGAAAAGAACCATAGGAGCATTGAAACCAGTAAAGCTTGCACCTGCTTGGGCTCAAAGAGGGGCATTTCCACAAGCAAAATGGTGGGGTGCGCATAGAGCCCGCAGAAGAGCCCCCCTGCTTTCTAAACAGCACAACTTCATGCCTCTAAACTAGGGTCACAGGTATAGGGCCAGGTGACACGGGATTAAGATGGTCAAGCCGAGGGAAACAGAGATGTTGATCAGACCCTTGGCGGGGCTGAGCACAGCCCTATAGGGTCAGTGGCCGAGACTACACAAGTTGCCTCGGGCCCACTCTGGACACAGGAAGGCCTATGGCTCCCATGCTGACAGTACAGGGCTCCGGCCGGCAGTCCAAGAGTGGTTCTGAAAACCCTGGTTCCACCCTTAGTAATGCAGGCAGGAATGCACCTGGCTGTACGTAGTTGGCAAGCTCAAGGGGACCCCAGCTGTAGAGGGCTTTGCAAAACTCCCTCTAACTTCAGACACTGGCCCTGGGTTTAATCCCCAGGAACCTGGGACAGGGACCTCACTGGGATCCAAGGGTGGGCAGATACTACATTATCTACCATAAGAGCCTCTGAATAAACCACAGAGGTACACTGCCCCCTCTCAGGCTGATGAGTCTCCCAATGCCATCCCTCTGTCCCTTAGAGCTTACCCTCCATAGCACAGTTACTGGTGTTCATGATAGTACTGAATCTGTCAGGCCAAACACCAGGCAGGAGGGCCCGGAGGCTCGGCTCAGCCCCACCCCAACCTCATTTCTACTCAGACTCACAACCATACAATTATGTGTATCTGCAGGGTCCAGTGGGGCAGGTTGGCAGAATGGCTGTCCCTGGGAGAAGTCTGGCTTTATCCAAAGCCAAGAAGCCAAGCAGAATCTCCCAGGTTATGTGGCCTTCAGGAACCTGTTTTCTCTGGGCCACGCTTTTGTATCTAGAGTGGCCACTTATACCTATATTTACATGGATTTCATAGGTCAGAGAGAAAGCGAATGGGTGGGAGCCTCCACCAATCCACCAGGCGCTCTCAGTGGAGTCTCCCACTTGCAACCTCCAGTTCCCATTCATGTCCAGTTGATTCTAAAAACCAAGCCATCATCAGACACAATGGCACTCCCACCTGGACCGCTTAGGTAAGTCTCACAACAAATGATGTCACCGTCTGTGACGTCAACGTAACAGGCCTCGGTTCCGGGGGGGGGGGGGAGGAACCAGTCCTGGCTTCTTTTCAGAAGTTCTTTTCAGATAAAAGACTCAGAACATTATAGCTAGCACACAAGGGTCCTGCCCTAAAGTGGCACCGTTGCTGTGGTCATGAGCTATCCGGACACGGGACACTGGCCCCATAAAGCCCCTACGGGGTCTGCTTCTGTTAGAAGCCTCACACATGCTGGCGGATGGTGTTAACTGCTTCCAATGTCACACCTGTTTTGGGAATGCCTCTGTTTGGGGGAACAAACACATAGAGGTAACTTAGGCAGGGTCAATTTTTCTCTGGACAGATGGTTTATTTTGTCACTTCAGTATTTTCTTTCCAGTGCAAAAGGAACAGTATTCATGAACCAAAACATCTAGGACACAAAGGAAAAGAGAAAGCAGAGGCCAGGTCTGGCCTGACCTACAACCCAGTTTTGTGTGTGTGCACGCGTGCGTGCGTGTATGTGTGTGTGTTTTATACATGTGTCTGTGTATGTACCTGTCTCCACAGGGGTTCCTGTGTGTGTGTGTGTGTGTGTGTTTCCATCAGCCTGCCCTCATAGTGGTTCCTATGTTCCAGGAACCTGGTGGGCTGTGCTGGGCACTGCATGAGTGCCTACCAGGTGACAGCGCCCTAGCACCTGGTGGCCTGGGCAAGTGGGTGGTTGCTCCGAGTGTGCTATCTATACAACAGACACCTGCAGCTTTGTGGGTCAGTCCTCCTGGTCTCTAGGGAGACTTCAAAAATCAGGGCCTCAGGTTGAAGCTCAGGAATGCTTTCAAGCCAGCGGCTTAATCTGGACTCTAGAACCTTCCAGCTACCCACCAATATCAGAGCTAAAGTGAGGCAGATGGGGACGCTGAGGCCCAAGGCTTATGAGGAATGGGTCCCAGGATCACAGTTCTCACCCACCCGCCAACAATGAGGTTGAGTGCACCCGTGTTATACAGTTATAACCAAGCTACAGGACAGCTGCTTCACTGGATGAAGACATACTGTATCTGTTGATCACAGGCCCCAGAAGGTGAATGGCAGACAAGGTAGCCACAGTGGGACTGTCCTCTCTGCAGGAATATGCAGGCCTGTCTGAGAGTCAGGAAACCACCTTTATTGAGCTGTAGTTCCACACGTGTGGATCAGCCCTAGAGAACGCTGTGTTTCACGGCACTGGAGAACGTCCCTGGGAGAGGTCCCAGTCAGGTGCCGTACATGGAGGCATGGGGACCTTCCTTCTAAGTCCTTCAGTCTCAGAATGTTCCCCCAAAACACACCTGATCCAGGCTGTAAGACCATGAGCGGTTATAGCCACCCTGCCCCCAGGATCTCCCAGTGTAGACACCGGGGTGAAAGGACCACAGGGGGTTGTAAGTCCACAGTATGGGTGTTGAGTACAGGGCTCAGAGGGCTTCGAGGTGGTGACACAGGGTCCCAATAAAATGAAAAAGAGTTGTGGAGACACAAGGCTAATCGTGAGTTCCACCAAGACTTGGGCATGGTGGCACGCACCTTTAATCCCAGTACTCTAGGAGCAGAAGCCCGTAGGTCTCTGTGAAGTTAACAAGTTCCAGGCTAGCTAGGGCTACACTGTAACACCCTGCCTGAGAACAAACCACAGCTGTACATGTTCCGCTAAGGACACTGGCCTTTAACTGAGAAAGGATGGGAGCCCTCTTTCAGGTGGGAGGGGCAGGCAGTGGTCTCCTTTTTCACTGCCCACTAAGGTCCCTGCGGCTGCGAACAGAGGTACAGGCTAGGATGCTGTTTGTGAGAGTCTGATCTCGTAGCCGCTTTCCCTCGGTCTGTAGAAAGGGGCTGGGTGAGGTTGGAGTTCTCTGAGGCCACCCAGATACCAGATGTCTGAGCCCGGCACTGAATGAAGCTTGATCCCCTTCACGGTGCCTCCTGCGAGAGCCGACTTGGAGCTCAACTCCAGGAGACAATGTGGAGGCTGGGCGTGGGGCAGTGCCCACTGCCTCTTTCCCTGGTCTCTAGGGCATGGGAGGCCCAGAAGGACGGGTCGTGGAGGCAGTCAGAGGAGCCAGTCCGCCAGGCAGTAAATCACCAGGCCAGGCTTTGTAATTATCCGGGCACTTAAGCGCCTCTATCTTGTCTCTCCCTTCCCTGGGGAAATTTCCTTCATTTCCTTCGCTTTCCTAGTCTCCTGGATGTCTAAATCAGCCCAGGCCAGGCCTAGGATGCCGCTCTCTCCAGCTCTTCTGGCATACAGCTATCAGGTTGTATGGTTTGCACGCTGGACAGTAGCCACCGGAGGCCACCGTCCCCATCTAAGTTTCCTCCCTGCCCAGGGCAGGAGACTGAAAATGCCATCACACCCACCCTTGGAGGTACAGACAGCATCCTCACGGGCCACTTTCCCTGGCACAGGGAGGGGCCAGTAACCCCAGGAGGTCTAGGGATACGAGGCTGGGGTGGCACCTGAATGGGAAATCAAACAGAGGCAGTATTGAGAGAGGGTGCGTGAACGCATGGGCAGTAGCAACTGGAACGTGTGGCCTGTTTTGCTCATCTTAAGGACTCTGCACTGGTACCACTCAGACGCCGCCCCAACCCCTCCTCTCATCTAGTTCTTACACAGAGTCTGAGTCACTGCCCCTATTGTGCAGATGAAAACACTGAGGCACAGAAGGCAATGCCAGTGGCTTGCATGACTCAGATGGCCTGATACCAGCAGCTCTCTGGTCCTGGTGCGGGACCAACGTGGGTAGAACTCAGTAGCCTCAGTAGTACCAGCTCCAGCAATGGTCTCTCACAAGCATCCCACGTGGAGGTTGCCCCCCAAACCCCCCAGAGCCAGTGCCGGTAACTACACCCATACTCTCTAATTCAGCTTCCCGATTCTGAAGGGGGTGGCATGCTATGATGCCCCCAGTATAAAGGTCAGCCAGGTTGAGCTACTACAGACACATACAGCCCTGGAAAGAACTTCACAAAGCCACCGTGTGTGTCCCTTTCACGGGCCTCCCCGCCTTCCTAGAGATGAACCCACCGAGGTTTCAAAAGCTGGATCTCATTTTCAGCCTACACTGCTGATCTCCGGAAGCCTCTCCAGTCGTTTGCAGAGCCCGCTGGCAGGACTGAAGCCTCCTGTCGCTGCCCTCATAGCCAGGTCACTGGGTGCCAAACAGATGCCGAGGGCTCCGACTGGCTCGTGGCCTCTCCAACCACCGTCTCCGTTACATTCCAGGACCAGGCTCCCTCAAAAACCCTTCCTGAAAGCAAACAAAACCCGGGCCTGAGAACCGAGGCCCCGTCTTCTTTTTTATTCCTCACCCTTCCTCCTTCTTTTCCTTCCTTTTTAAATACATCTACAAGAGACGCAGGGAAAGTCGCTGGCCCTCTTGTGTTACAGATGGGTAAACCAAGGCCCAGTAACAGGAAAGGGGTCCAAGGCCCCATAGGTTTGATGGCTGGGTGGGAGTTCCAGAATCCAGGCAGGACTGATTCAGCCACACAGGTTCTCTGGGTCATTCAAATCTCTGTAGGGATAGTCTTCGGCGAGGACGGACCAAGTACTAATACCGTAACTTGCCAAGACCCAAAGCGTCCCGTGTTGAGCAGGGCCCTGGACCCACCTGATACTCCCCTGATGGAAGTCAGCCAGTATGGGCAAGGCTGAGACCCTTGGGCTCCCTGGCACAGACTGAGTGGTGTTCAGTAAATGCAGGAAGAAGTCTCTGGGGAGGCCTTGAAGCTCAGGGGCAGGGCTCCAGAAAAGCAGGCTGCTCTAATGGAAACCAGTCAGTGGCTAACCCCCCCCCCCTTGGTTTCCATGGGGACAGGATAGGAGGTGGAGCTCTGGCGTGGCTGCTGCAGCAGATGTGGCCTGTACAGGGTTGGGTGGGGGGGGGTGGTGCCTGGCAGGGAGCCCTGGGACGTGGCAGGAGTAGGGCTGGGCGCAGGGCCCTGCAGCCATAGCCCTGACGGTCAGCTTTAGGAAAGAGATCGGGGCGGTGGGTCCACCGCCTTCAAGAAGTCGCCTGGATTCCTCAGGTGTTCTAAGCGCATAGCCTGAGCCTCCTCAGAAGGGATCGAGCCAGTGGCATCTTAGTGAGATGAAGATATCTGCATTTGCCACGCCAGCCATGCTGGTGCTCTGTGTGCCTCAGGCCTGCTGGTACTTGTAGAGAGGGGGGCAAACCCCTAGAGCACCACATGGTCCTCTCCACTGTGCTCTGGATGGTGCTACTGGGTCTCCTCCCACAGGCACACTTGGCCTGGTAGGCTGAAGGACCTAAAACCTGTGCACTGTGGCCATGAAGAAGAGAGGGAGCTTGGCACGACTCTGGTGTGCCTGAGACTCTGCGGGCTTGGGGATTCAAACCCCCAGCATGGGCCACACTGACTGAAGGCTGGCTGGGGTTCTTAGAAGGCTCCCTTGCTCCCTATGGTGACACAGTTCCTATTCACCATAAAGAACTGGCCTTTTAGGAGACCACCATGACCTGGGACACAGCATCTAGGTCCAGAGTCCCAAGGAACTCCCTGTCTCAGGGCCACAGGGGAGCCACGGCAGCACCACGTTCTCTCCTTCTCTCCCGCTGTCACCCTGAGTGTGCCTCACAGCAAATGAGACCATGAAGGTATGGAGACTATGAGCTAGGACAATGTCCTGGACCCTTCAAACCTGCATGCACCAACGTAGAGGTGTTGGTAGTTCTGTTAAGGGAGGGGTCTTCAGCACCCTCAAACCTACATGGCCTGGAGCCCCACCCGGGACAACTCCTTTCTGCAGCAGAATTCCAGGCTGCAGGAAAGATCCTTACTGAGGTTGGGTATTTGAGGAGAACCAGCCAAGGTCAGCCTCCAACAGGAAGAAAATAAACAGGGGTCCAAGATCAGGTTGTTTAGCACAGCCATGGGGAAGATCTAGGTTAGGGTTCTGCTATCCAAGCTGTGTGGCTGTGGGAAAGTTCCTCGGCCTCTCTGAGCCTGTATTTTCTGGTATAGAAAAGTTGATGTCCACCCCTCACTAGACTAGGACTTCTTCCACAAAAGGCAGGAGCATTCTAACTAGTTCGCAAGGGTTCTGGTCAGATGCTGAGATAAAATCGAATCGGATAGATTAAAGTTAAAAACGGACACATTTTAAAACACGGCCATGGTTTTTAAAATGCATGCAAAGTCCTAGCACTTAGTAGGTACTCTGCAGAATGGGAGTCACTCAGCATAAGACATGTTTGTGATAGCCAAGCCGCACTGGTGCTCTCTGGGAAAAACCTACTGTGACCAAGCTTTCACCTGGGGCAAGGCAGGGGCTTTCAGCTGTGGAGGTGTCCATCCAGGCCCGCCCACCTGGTCTTATCACTTCTTTTGGTGGTTGGGCACTGACTATAGTGGCCATGCCTTTCCTACCCTGGTACCTAGCTGTGAGGTCTTAGCTGCGTGCTTGGCCTTGAGAGTGCCCACTTTCAAGTGCCTGGCACGACCCCTCAGCTAGATGGCCAAGGGGGTCACCCGTTCAAGAGTGTCCACATCTCAGAGCTTTCCCAGGGTGTTACAGAACTCTGGATGCAGACCTGACATCCTCAGGCCCCAGCCCTCAGGATCTGAGTCTCCCAATGTGCTGGCATTAGGCCTGAGCAGGGTGGAGTGTGTCTCCCTGACACTAAGATCTCTGATAGCAGCCATGTTGGACTTTGAAGGGTCCACCAGAAGGTCGCATGTGCTGTTGGTAGATGAAATAGGTCATTAATAGGAACTCTGAAAGCCTAGGCCCAGGTGAGGTTCATCCCATGTGCCCTAGCAAGGCGAGAACAGGCAGGATCCCAGGATCCCTCCTCCCACGCCTGAGCCAGAAGCACAGGCACACCTACCCCAGGAATCCCGGGCAGGGCTGGGCACCCAGGAAACTGGGCCAGAGGTTCCCGCACATACTAGTGTGGCCAGGCTACCTCCTGAGCACTCCAGCTCCAGCCTCGATCCCCTACCCAAACTCCAAGTTCAAAAGCCTAAAGTCACAAGGCCCCAATGCCAAGGCCTCTTTCCCATGGCCCACCCACAACTGCGACCCGTCAACAACCCTGCATCTAGCCAAATGTCCCATCACATCACAGATCTTTAACCTCCCAAGAAGCCTGTGTGTCTGATGTTCTCCCATTTTGAGAAGGGGACGTTGAGGCTGAGGTGAACAAGTACCTCTCACTTACAAATGCGGGCTTCCTAGATCTTCCTACCGGGACACAATGAGGCTATAAAGAGAGCAACTCATGGGCTTCCCAGCCAAGAACTCCCATGAGCTTCCTCCGGACTGAGACTGGTACTGTAACCCTCTCTTTAAAAACCAAGCTCCAAGACCTGTGAGGAGTACCGGGCGGGCTTCTGTCCCATCTCATTCAACCCTTCAGTTGCCTGGTGTTCCTGACAGGCAAGCCCTGCCCTAGGCCCCGCATGTGTGCAGGCATACACAGACCTGCCTGGGAAGGCCCAGCCCTGTGGGTGGCTCCTTGGAAGAAGGCCCCTAGCAGCTGACCAGCAGCAATAGCAGGACTTCCGGGCAGCTCCCCGCCCTAGGGCCCGCCTTTCTAGATTCCCTGCTCTGGGCCGCCATTTCCTCTGCTGGGCCCAGAGGCTCACTCTCATTCCTCTGGGTCTGCAAATGGCCGGCGCCTGGAACTGTCCATCCGTCCACATAGGGAGAAGGTGATCTGGGACTTGCCTGGATCTGACTACCTCTGACGGCACCCCACCACCCTCTACCTCAATTTACCCCAGCCTAGGGATGGGCTCCTTTCAAGCCCCTAGGGACAGCGATGGGCTGTCTACTGCAGTTATTGCAAGGGTGGACAAAGGGCTCTGCGATCCACTTAAAGAAGAGAGACAATATCTAAAGGACACTGCCCACCTTGGTGGAAAATGCCTATTACCAGTACCCAGGCCAGGTCTGAATGCTAGCCACCAGGGGAATACAGACACTCATATATGTGTGTGCATGTCACACACACACACACACATGCCTCTGTGCATGTTTCTCTGCAAAGACCTTGTTGTACATCCATGTTCCAACCTCTACATGTATGGGGTACACACCAGTGAAAAACTATAGCTGATCCATAGGGACTTTGGAGGAAAGCCCATTGGGGCCCGATTCCTGACCTAACTGCTCAGCTGGGTGGATCTTTCTGATTTTCCCGCCTCTCCGGGTGGAAGGGAGAGGGGAGTCCTGCTTTGGGAATATTCCGAAGCTCCAAAGTACCACAAAGAAGCAATGTCTGGGCGAGGACATGCTCCGTTAACTGAGCTTTCTGATGTTGGGTAGGCCTCGGCTCTCTGTTCCCATTATAGAGACAAGGAAACTGAGGCTCACAAAGTGAACTGACTTAGAGCCAGAATACAAAGCCAGCCCAACTCGCCTCACCGCCCTAAGTATGTGCTCTTCCAAAAGTGGGGAGCCACCGCACCCCTGGCCCAAACAGTACATGACACGACACTGTCACCACCCTCTTGCTCTTGCTCTGCCTTCGCCTTCACGGTGCCCAGTGCAGGAACACACATTCCTGACTCTGAGGCAGCAGCGGACAGATTGGCAGACCCGCGGGAAAAGCAGGAAGAGGTTAGACACACAGACTCACCACTCCTAGCCAGCTGGGGAGGATTTCATCAGTGTTCCGTTTCCACTGTTCGCTAACATCTCCACCAACAGGTAGAAGCCTTCAAGTAAACAAGCCACAACAAAGTACTTCTAATAACAAATGGGTGCGGGGGCTGGAGCTCCCGGGGATGGGGGGGAGGGTGGCGGTGTGCAGCAAGGCCCTTCCCTTCCTCTCTCCCAATGCAAGAGCCTCAAATGCTCTCCACAGGCAGGGAACACAGCGTTTGGACTCCAGAAGTACAGAGGTCAGTGTTTAACACATGGGAAAAGGGGGCGAAAGTGCAGCTTAGCACTGGTTACATCATCACCTGTACACAATTCCCAAAATAAGCAGTTATCATCATCTGCAAATTATTGTGGCCGTAAAAGTGCTCTGGCCTCGAGTGCGTTGATACAGCCCAATAAATTCTGGATTCCCTTATCTCACTGGGACTTTTTTTTTTTTTTAATTTATACCTACTCTATCCAACTGACCCACTGAAATTTTTTTCAAGTTTCGACTTAAATGTATTTTTGGACCATTTGAAATATTCATTATTTGTTTTTTTTTTTTCACGCAGGTCTCAAAATAATTACATGCACATTGACCCAGAATAGCCGAGGGCTGGACCTCCCTATAGTTAATAAGTTATATTAATAATTGCATGCCACAAGTCGGAATTTAAGGGTAGTGTTATGATATTCGCGCAGCAAAATGAGATAAAAATCGGTAATTAATAAAAACACGGAAGGACTTCTGACACGGCATTTGGAGTCTTAAAAGATGGCAGGCAGTATAGGTGAGCTGGCTCTACAGGTAAGGGTTCTTGCCTGCCAACCTGAGTTCAATTCCTGGAAGCCACACAGTCGGGGGGGGGGGGGGGGGGGGGGGAGAAGCCACTCCTGCAGTGTGTGCGCTCACCTCCAGGGGCATGCACGGTATGCAAATGCCTACACACACACAAACAGGCACGCGTCCGTGTGTATATGGAGACCAAAAGAAAAAAAAAATCGAACAAAGCAGTGGCACTCTGTCAGCCCTTCCAGAAGATCGGGGAACACGCTCGCTTCTCGACACAAATGTAGCTTGTTTGTTTTGACCTCAGTTCTTCGAAATTGTTGACTCCACAATTAAAATATGCCGTGTGTTCCAACAAGTACCAGGCAGTGGTAATGACAGACCAGCCCATCTGTGCCTCGAGAATGTATAATTTCTGTCTATAGTGGAATTTATATAGAAGCAATGATGTGGAAAGTGCTTTGCGTGGTACTTTCTATTTTTTTTTAATACTGTCAAAAAGAAATGGGTGCCATGGAAAGCACTGAGATCTGAGATTTTGCCCATTTTTTTTTTTAAAAAAAAAAAACAGAATATGACATTTTACATTTGGGCGACCAGGGAGGGGATCTGATGCTAACGGAATTTAAAACTTAGGTGGCAAGTGGATACTTACAATCTTCCAGAGGGGGGGAAAAAAAAACAGTGTGACATACACTAAAAGCAATGGATAAATTGACTCAGAGTGGAAGGTACTAATTTAACAGTGAAGATATTTACATGAATTATTTTTCTGTTACTTTCCCCTATCTTGTCCAAAAAGAAGATGAATTAACATTCAGGAAATTCTACCGCACATCCATCCAGAACTTAAAATTGGAGCTCTATTCACCTACACTAACTATTAAAAACAACAGGCCAGGGGTAGGCAGCTGTTAAAATGCAGACTCGAGCTCCTAACCTCCCTTTTCTTCCTTGCCTAATTCTCTCTTTGCCACGCTTTTGCCTTTGAAACGTATTACAGTTTATTCCCCCATTACTTTTATTTTGCCACTAGTGTTTTATCCGATGCTTGCTAAATATTTGGGTGGAATGAATCCTCCAGCTTGCAGCAGCAGAATGTGGCTGTCATAATCGTGAAAATGTTTTAATTATCTCGGCTATATATGCCTGTCTCCGCAGCCCCAAACCCTTCAGTATCGACTGCTGCCTAGCGTAAGAACAAAAGCAGCCAGACTGGGCTCCGTTTTCATATTTGGTGGAGTCTGCTCTGGGCGGCTGCTGCAGCCGAGCTCCTGGACACACAGAGCCCATGTGCCTCTGGACTAGGGAAACAAAGATGTCTGTACTTGGGAATTTTCCTCTTCCTGCGCAGTGGAACTTTCTGTGTAGGATTTTCCAGTTCCCATAAATCAAGACCCCAGCTACCCTTAAACATAGGCTCGGCCAGGCTGTGGTCGAGGGTGCTTTTTGTCAGTGTGCCAGAGGGGTGGAGGTGAGCAGGCAGCTGAGCTCTGCAAATGTCACCTTTTTTTATAAAGGATGGGGCCTGGGACTAAACTCAGACAGCCTCTAACTCAGCTCACGGGTGATATTGGCACGGCGGGTTACACAAAGGTCTTTGGGGGATCCTTAGCACCCATCGGACACAGTTTAGGCTCTGTGTGGCCTGGCACGACTCTGCTGGTAAAGAACTAGGCTGGGACAGGGTCTAGACCGGCCTGGGAACCACTTGGTGCTCTCTTTTAAGGATTGCCTGGTGACTCGTGTCCATGGGCACTTCTCACCCAGCCTGGCAAGGGGGTTACAAGCTGAGCACATTACTATGATGTAGATAGATTCCCTCCTCAAAATTACAAAAAAAAAAAAAAGGCCTTAAAAACAAGTGCTTAAAAAGCAGAGTGCAAAACCCCAAATCTTCCCCACACTGAGCTGTCATCCAAGAAAAGCTTTCTTCTTTAAAAAAAATATATAAAAAAAAAAAATAAAAAATAAAACGAAACGAAAGGCAGAAAGGACTAAATCCCTAAACTGTGGAAATGGTGGCATTAGGGATGCGGGACAGAATAAAAGAACCTCTGTTTCAGAACACGAAAATACTCCCTCCTGTGTGCGGCTGGCCCTGCCTGAGCCTTTTGCTGAAGGACCTCACGATGGTTCTGGGTTTTTTCCCCTCTGCCATTCCCGGTACTTCCAAAGTTAAAAAAAAATGGTAATGAAATAATAAGACCCCTTCCAACAACAAAGCAACACAGGCAAGGAAGGGCGGCTTGCCGACTGATGCCTCCTCCAGCCCTCATTCAGCTCTTCATCGAACACGCAGCCACTGCGAAATACCGAGCGTGTGTTTTCATTATCATTTTGAAAGCCATAGCTTTGGATCTTAAAAATAAATGGCTTGGTTTCTCTCTCTTCCCTGCAGTTTTTTTGGCAGTGTCTGCTTCACTCAAGACTGGCAGGAGGGGGGGGGGGGGCTCTGAAATAGAATTTGGGGTTTGGGTTAAGCCAATTAGAGAGGAGGGAGACGTAACAGGCACAGAGCGCAAGATGGCAGGGCCCTCTGCTCGTCCCCAGCAGGAGAAGGGGAGAAGGTCACTTACCAAGGAACTGAAGGACAGGGCCACTTTCTCAAAAGCCAGCAAGTGAGAACGATGTCCCCTGCCCTGGCTGGGTAAGAGGGCTCCCGCCAGCCAAAAGGCTGTCTCCAGGTGCCAGTCTCGGCCGGACAGACCCTTGGGCCTCCTGGGCTCTGGCATCCATCAGTCCGTAGGTCCTGGCCTGGGCCTTGGCTACACTGGCACCCGGGGTTAGGACTGCCAGGAGCAAGTGGCGCTGGGGGAAGGCCCTGCTGCCAGCCTAGGAGGACGAGGAAAATGCTACTTTTGTCTCCTGCTCTCTCATCTGGCACTGGCTCCCAGGGAGGGGGGGCAGAGGCGGCCGCTACAGCTCAGCCCCGCCCACCGGGAATTTTCGAAAGATGCTCGTGGGTGCCTGGAGGATGGCAGACGTGGCAGAGGCGGGTGGGCCGGGCCCCCAAACCCACCACCAAAAACAGGCGGGGGTTGGACGACAAGGAGAGGAGGGAGGATACCACAGTGCCTGACCACTCAGCAGCTAGCCTGAGGACGCCTGAACACCAGTCCAGCCCCAGCCCAGGCGACAGTCAGCCATGTAGATGGGCAGGGTGGCCGTGGCGCCATGTTGTGACTGCCTGGCTAGCCAAGCAGTTCTGACGGGCCTGGAGTCCAGGCTGCCCGAACTGCTCCAGATAGAGGCCGCATTGTTCCTATGCTGGGTTCTGCAGAGAAGCAGGAGGTGGCTGGCATTCGGCTGCTCTCTTTTAGAAGAGTTGGGGCTCCCATTCCAGCTACCCGTTGACCAGAACTCTTAGCGTGACCCATCCTAATCACGGAGGCGGGAGCTGCCTCAGCCAGGAGTCTGGACTATGGGTTTGAATTTAGCTAAGTGTCCACACATCTGCTCTCGCCTTGGTTTTCTCACCTATGTTCACGAGGGGGATTATGTCTCCTACTTGTAGCTGACGGGATGCAGAAAGTAGGGCTGGGGCTGAGCGCTGTGCTCAGGACCCAATGCCTGGGAGAGCAAGAAGATCCCAGAACAGCCAAGCAGCCAAGAACGAGGAGGAGTGCCAGGGCAGAGCTGAGATACATCACCTCCGTTCCCTCAGATCCCTCAGGGTAACCAAAGTCACTCCGTGTCACTGTCTTGGGCACACAATCCTTTGCTGCAGCCCTCCGGAACAACCAGAGGTTAGACTAAGGGCCTGACAGGGACGATTTTGCTAAAACTTATCAGATTGGGCCACCCTCTCCTACAGGTGTCCGCCTGCCCCTGGTAGATTCACTTGGTAGTCCTCTCAGGAGCCATGTCACTCCGGGCCCTTTTGTATGACATCATCAGAGGTGCTCACGTAAAAAGGCAATGGGTCTGAAGTATAGGGAGGGGCTCATGAGCAGCATGTGACACCTCTCCTCAGACACCCAGGTACCACAGGGCCAGCCCGGCCACCAAGGATGGTGGACGGATCACTGCCAATGGGCCTCACTCCTTACCATGTGGGACATGGTAAGGGTCTTTCTGTCCATGGTGAGCCATGTAAAGGGTGGTCAGACAAAGCATGTGGACCTAATTGTTCCTGGGCAGCCTGCTTGTTTCCTACTGCTTCCTGCCTGCTCAGACAGTCATGCTGAAGGCCAAGAAGAGGATAGGCAGAGTGAGCTAGGAAGAAGCTGTCCCGGAGGAGTCTCTGGTCTCTAGCTCTGGCCTCACGCATACGGCCACGTGACTGCTTGCCAGCTGACGCCAGAGACAAAGCAGGTAGCATTCCAATGCCATGCGCTCGACCAATAACGCCGAGAATCCATGCCAGCAATGGTTTGGCATGGCTGCCAAGAGCCTGGCCCTGGGAGGAGAAGGGTCCCTAGGCTGTGTGAAACGGGACCTGTTCTGCTAGTCCACAATGCAGAGAAGCCACCGAAGCCCTGCTTGGGGGTTCTGCTGAGATAAGGGAATTTGGATCGCATGGCCATAAGAGGACATGCCCCCCCCATGCACCCAGTGTCACCACAATCAGAAGTGACCACTGCTGCACTCAGCACATTGCTACAGCTACAGCAGGGCCATCGAGGCCTTGGGACACTGATGCCCCACGGAGGGCAGCAGGTCCCTATCGGATGCAACCACGTGTCATATGCCCCATCAACAAGCATTTCTCTAGGTGGGAAGGCTCAGCAGTTGACATGCATAAACTTTAACAAGCTCATGAGTCCCTCCAGGTCAGAACCAGCTCTGTCCGGTCTGAGTGCCATCCTGGGTATGGTTTTTCTTACTGTCCAAAGGTATGGGGAAAGGCGGCTGCAGAGCTAGTAACCTTTTTAATAATTTAAGATGTAATTATAAAAGCCTAAATTAGATGTATATACCGTTCTCAAAAATATCAAGGGAGATTCTCAATTTAAGATATTCCTGCTGAGTGCTACTCTGGCCAGAAATTCCAATAGTAAAGAAGGGCGGTTCGCCAAAAAACCCAGCCCGGTATCAGAAAGCCAGAGCACCTGGGCAGCATTCCTCTTTAATCTGAAGGGAAAACGTACCCAGCCTTAAAAAATTTACCTGTGCACATTTCGCAACCACGACGGGTCCTAACCCTACCCAAGCCTGACGCCATCACTGCTCACAAACCCTCCCCACCACTGCCTGGACAGTGAATCCCAAACACCTCTGCACACACATCTGCATCCTAAGGAGGAGACTCCAGATTCCAGACTCCAACTAGAAGATGCCAAAATCTGATGCCAAGACTACACTGCACTTTGTGCCTGCTTCCTCCAGCAAGTGAATATAATCCATTTTTTTTCCTGCCCAGGACACAAGATTTCTTTCTTTCCCATGATTTCAGGTTTTCCACACCTATACTCACAGCCTTAGATGTCTGAACATCCCTAAAAGTTTCTTGGCTTGGCATTTTGGAGGTGCAGGTTAATATAGAAAGTCGGATGCTATGAACTTTCAGCATTCAAAATAAACAAGATCAACAAAAGGGATTTTTAAAATAAAACCTTACTCAGAAGACAAATATTATCAATTTGCAAAAAAAAAAAATATCTGTTGAGTAATAAGTAGATGCTCCCTGCCAGGACCTGTCTGTCCCTTGTCTGTCTTCCTCCACTGGCCCCGGGGCAGAAGAGTCTTAACTAAGGGTCACTTGAAGTAGCAGGTATTCACTGACTAAGTGCCCCCCTTGGAATTCCCAGAACCATATAATGCTGGCTTCTCCAATACTCTCTATCCAAACCCTGGCACAGCAAGGCCACTCTGAATCCCCAAGGTGAACCTCAGCCACTGATCTCACATTTAAGGTGGCCCACCACCAGGCATAGTGTGGGCCAGATCAGCCCTTGGGGGGCAGGCCGGGAATACTCTCCTTGGGGTAGAGGCCTCGGAGATAAATCCAGTGTTTTCAACTAATTTAGAAGGCAGTCTTCAGGGCTCCACATACTGGGTTTGTTGATCACGAGGCGCAAACTACTTTCGGTAGTTGGGGATATAAAGGAGGGCTAGTGCGGTCTTCTCCACTCCAGTTAGACTCCCACAACCTACAGGCCACTCCCAAGTTCATCTGAGAACAGGACGTGAGGAGGAGGAGGAGGAGAGGAGGAGGAGGAGGAGGAGGAGGAGGAGGAAGAGGAGGAGGAGGAGGAGGAGGAGGAGGAGGAGGAGGAGGAGATGACATTGGAAAACCACAAATATGGGCCCACATTGTCTGGTGGAGCCCCTGGGAAGCGATTCTGCCTCTGAGTCCTTTTTATTCACTTGCATTCCGAAACCCAGCTAGGCAGGCCAGACTTGGTCTAAGGGAAACCTCAGCAGGCCCATAACCCCAAACCTGGCCACCTTTCCAAGGACTGCAGACATACCCCCTGTGGCCTTTGAAAATAAAGCACAGGAGGAAAAAGATAAAATAGTGAAAACTTAAACTGCACTCCACAAAGAGAGATGGGCATACCCATACCCGCTGAGATTTCCCCAGAACCACAGCTCAGGGGACTTTCGTTTCCCCCCGTAAACCTCTGCCCTTGACTGTGAGGCCAGGGCCCACACTACTCGAATGCCTGAACTCTGATCACTGGACAGTCCTCAAAGTAAACACCCCATATAAAAGATCCATTGCCTCTGCTTGAAGGCAACTGTTGCTATTTCTCGTGCAATATCCCTGTAACATCAGAAAGTGTGGCTAGTGTCCTTAAAGGTTTCTCTTTGCTCCAACAAGGTGCTTTGAGGGAAAAAAAAAAAAAAAAAAAAGGAGGTAATCTTGCTGGGTATTTCTGAATGAACAGCCAGGAGAAAATTTCCCCAAAACAAGCTATTTGGCAAACGTACCCTTCATGTGTCAGAGTGGCAAAACTGTCCTATCAAACCCCTATCCGTATCTCTGGCAAGGATGCTGGACCACAATAGGGAACAAAGCTCAGACCCGTACCAGAACCCTGAAGTCATTTTCCAGGAAAACCTCATACTGCCCTGTGAAGGGGTAACATATTCTGAATCCCTAAGGAAACCTCTGTCTCCTCTGCTGTATCTAAGGCAAGATTCACAATGTATGCAGTAGTCACATTTACACAAAATCCCCCGGGACGGGGAAAGTTCTGGCTTTGCAAGTTACCACCAGCCAACCCAAAGGCACTGGGGAGTCAACGTCTCGGTGTCCTTTCTGAATAAACCAGAGGTGGGATCTGTTACCTAGAATATAACATAATATAACATATATAATAAAATGCACACGGTAGTAAATGATAAAAATATAAGGAATTACAGTGACTTCATTTACAATTCTAACTATAGCACAGCCATTAGATGCTCTCAGACAACATGCCAGCAACAGCACCTTATGAAAACAATGTTGTCTGCATCCTTTGATACTGGCATCTCTATTCCTCTTCGGAATGGCCAGGGTACAGGCTTGGGAAGGCAACAGGACTTGCCTGGGTCACATGGTTGAGCTGGAGACACGGACAAATTAGAACCTGGACTGCTCCAACTCCACGCCCCAACGTGAGCTTGGGCACTCCAGCCTTCTGAGTTCTGTATCAGTATTGGCCCTTCATTCTACACATCTAAATACAACCCTGAAAATCCAACAGAATCAATAAAAACGAGGCATGGAAGTTGTAAGATGTTTCTTGCCCGGCTCACAAGGCCTGGTACTTCCCTGAGCAATGTTCCTCTTTCAAGGCTTGTAAGAGGTTCTCCTGGACAGAAAGAAGTACCCGCCCAGCAGGGTGCCCATCTGGATGGGCAAAGTCCTCCACCTCTCTTCTCCTGCCTTTCAGTAGGACCTTGTCTATGATGGGCTGGGGCCATGTGTCCTGCTGGAGAGTAGATAGAGGCAGAAAGCCAGGTTTAGTTTACAGAGGTCACTGCCATGGTAGAAAGCACGGTGGGCCTTGTTGCCACACATGCCTGGTGCTTAAACCCAGCCTGCATCTGCCCTAGAGATCACTTGCCAAGGACAGTGTGAGGAGTGGTGAGGCTCTTCTGTAGCCACCCTGGGATCAGCCCTAATTTAATAGCAGAAATAGAGCCTCATGTCCCAAGAAGTCCACACAGCCGTCCATTCCACCAGGGCCCTACTTACCCGTTCCTTTTATTAAATCCAACAGGGAAAAAAACAGACAAGTACATGTTTCCTCTTTTGTGTGTGTGTGTGTGTATCCACCACCCCCCCTCCCGCCAAATGGTACCAAAACGAGATATTTGAGAATGGGGGGATGTCCTGGACAGCCTCCCTGGAAACAAACACGCTTAATCCTGCTATTTCCCAGGTACTAGGGTATGGTCTGGCAATACATAGGACCCTGATGCTCGTCAAAATGGTGCCTTTGGTTCAAGGTCCTGGTTCGAACCACCTCCTCTAAGGCTTTGGTCTTTCCTGCTTGCCCTGGTTTCCATACGACGGCCTGGGGAGATGTCCATTTGTTTGTGCATCTGCTGTAGTCCTAAGCATGATCAAGAACCTCAGCTAACCACCACCTATTCTCCACCCTGCCAACCCTGTGCCGTGGGTCTTCGGTGGACAAGGGAAAACACTGCCAGCATTTTTCCGGCAAGGAGAGTGAGCTTCTGTTAAGGACCCCATCGTGTCCAGCGTTAAGCCAAGCAGTTCTGGGTGCCATACCTTCCACAGAGGCACCTCTACAGCTGAGATGGCTCCCAAATGTCTTACCCAGGGTTTTCTGTTTGCTAAATGCCTCGGATTAAGTAATAAACAAAAGCTCAAAACAGGGGTGGTCAGCAGCGTAAAGCAGACTAGTTAAAAAAGAAAGAAAGAAGTAAAAGATGGTCAAGGTTAGTCTTTAGTTCAGACTCTGCAAAAAGAGACTTCCTACTCCTTGAGGCTCTTAGCCTGAATCAACCAGAGCACGCGGTCCAGGAAGGTAGGCATAAAGCAGGCCTGGACTCCTCCGGCCTCATCCACATTCTCGGAAACAGGGCCTCAAGCGCATGGCTCTCTGGGGTGTTATGGAAATAGGTGTCCCTCACTGTGTGTGATTTGAAGTGAATGGCCCCAGCAAGGCTATCCAAACCACACTGAAAATGTGGAGAATCCGTATATTCACACCTGACGCACGACTATATGAAAGCAGGCTTAATCCCCACGAAGTGGTTTATCATTTTAACCCAGGCTAGGTACACACACAGAGACACAGTTTTATTTCCCAGATACCCGGAACCTATGTGTTTCAAATAAAATGAAGTTATCGAGGGCCTGGAGAGACCACCTAGGCTTTTGAAATCCAACTTCGAAGAAATTAATTTCAGTTCTACCTA